CTCCAAATGCTCGGGAGACGAAACGTCCGGTCCCGGTGACCGACCCAGGTTGGATCCTGCACATTGAGAATCCTTCATCTCAGAACGCAAATTCAACCATAGTTTCAAATGAGAAACTGTGAGCATCCAAGGCCAAATCAAATCCCACAATGCTAGGGAATTCCTGGAAGTTTGGCATTCAGACACATCAGTCCACAACAGATGTACAGAAATAAACCACACTTACACCCCATTCAAAAGAAACAATGAAAGAAAGCTAAGGAGGAAAGCAAAAGAGCAGAACACATTCTCTCCAGCAGCCGACACCCAGATAAGCAGGGATTAACACAAGACAAACAACCAAACAGAAAAAAATACTCTAAACAAAAACAACTACCAGGAGGACAAAAACCACAACCCCACCAACACTGGCAGGGCAAATATTGTATATAAACACTTGCCCACATTGACGATGCTACATGCTTGGATAATGAAGTGTCTGCAAGCTGACAACTGAGCTCAGAGAGCATCAAGGAATCCATATAGCAACAGCCATAGGAATAGCCCTTAGACTTACATACTGCTTCACAGTGCTTCACAGCCCTCTCTAAGCGGTTTGCAAAGTCAGCCTGTTGCCCCCCAACAAATTGGGTCCTCATTTTACCCACCTTGGAAGGATGGAAGGCTGAATCGACCTTGAGCCAGTCAAGATCGAGCTGCTGGCAGTCGGCAGAGTCAGCCTGCAATGCTGCATTCTCATCACTGCACCACCACAGCTCTAATATAAAACCACTAGAGGGTTAGGTCAACATGAACTCGGAGAGCAAAATGGACATCACCAACAAATTAGGAGTGCTTGGGTATGGTTAGGGGGGCACTGACTTTTCTAGCCTGCCCTATCTATGTTTCCTGGTAAAAAACATGGGAAAATCCCATTGGAGGAAAATTCCACTTAGGGTTAGGGTTAGGTCATCATGAACTTATATGGCAAAATGGACATCGCCAACAAACTCGGAGTGCTTGGGTATGGTTAGGAAGGCACTGACTTTTCTAGGCTGCCCTATCTATGTTTCCTGGGGAAATACATGGGAAAATCCCATTGGGGGAAAATCCCACTTAAATTATCACTTTATTGGTGGTGATTAAAACACAGAACTAGCTGAAAGAAAGTCCAAAACAAATCCCCTGACACCCATGCAGCAATGTTTAGTTCCGTGCAGTGGAAGAAGCCCTCCAGCAGTCACATGGCTGGCAATTCACAATTCACCGCAGAGGCCCGGCTGCACAACTGGATTCCACATGCAGGCCATGTGTGCGAAACATGTGCCCCCCAGCATTACCCTTGCTGCCCACTGCTTCGTGCCGGATGAGGCAGGAGGCTTTCGCAGGAGAGCAAAACACAACTGAGGACAAGATGCTCCACCAATGAGAAGGCAGGCAGCCACCCCAGCAGCCTGCGGAACCCCCAGAATTAACCCTTCATCCCTAAACTACCATCCAGACGGAGCCAGGTTCGGTGTTGTGGTTGAGGGATCAGGCTAGGCTGGGAGAGCGTGAGTTCTAATCCTGCCTGGGCCTCTCACTTTCTCCACGTTCTCAAAAGCCCTGCCAAGACAACGGCAGGGATTGTCCAGGCAGCGCCCAAGAATCAGGCGGGATTGAACGGAGGAAGGAAAAAGAAAGATGCCCCAGAGGGGAGGATCTGAACCGCTGCAACCAGGGATCAGGTTCGGACAAGTGATCAGGAGGGACCTCTGGACAATATGAGCTCTCAGCCGCAGGAAGAGCCTGTCAGATGAGAGGTCCCTTCCTCGGGAGCTGTGGAAGCAAAGCGCTCCAGTCTCTCCCAGCTCCTGGATCCTGTCGCCACCCCTGCCCACGGATGGCTGGAGCGGCAGTGAGGACCCCAAGGCAGGCCCACCTGGGCTTCCCAGAGAGGTGCTGGTCCCCGCTGCTCCCCTTCACGCCAGCGGAAGCCCAGGAGAGGTTCCAAAGCGGACCAAGAACCCTTCCAGGTAGGCCCACGGAGCTGGAGAGACGGCTTCCCATCCAGCAGTGGGGCAAGCGGCCATCGTACCACTCCTCACCGGCCCCTTCAGGAGCAAGAAGAGACGGCTGACCGAGACGCCTTTTGTTTCCTATCTACACGCACAAAAACCATAACGTGAACCCAGCCACAGCAACCACGGGGAGACCCACTCCGTGGCCCGCGGTCTTGCTCCGCGGCTCGTCTTGTATCGACGAGAGAGGACAAGCGGCTTCTAAATGGTTTGGCAGTTTGTCTGGAGGCTCTACTGGAGCTGACGCCCATCCAGGCCCTTCCGACGGCAGCTGGCACGGGAGCCACGCCCAGGATCGTGCTGTGGGACATCCAGGGAGGGCGAAAACAGCCCCATTCCCGGACCGAGGAGGCCTCAGTGAGGCCGAGTAAGGAGGCAGAACTGCCTTCTTCGGCTGAAGGCCGATCAGGGAAGGGGTGGAACCCCAGATCCAGGTTTGAAGGCATCTTAGAGGTTGTCTAGTCAGCCCAATATCTAGCACGGCATCTCCCACAGCTGATCACAAAAGTTCTCTTTGAAGGCTCCAGCAAAGGATAAACCCCACGTGACGCGGCAGCCTGTCCAAGCCAGTTGGGTGAAGACGCGGCCTTCGGAAGCAGAGGGACCTCATGGCTTCAAGGCCTTCAAGGAGGAGCTCTGCTCTGGGACCGCCTGGTGGGACTCAGCCACCTTCTTCTTCTCTCTCAGTGGGGCTTTGAAAGCACCCAGGGGATGGTCTGCTTAGAGGTCTCTCATCTTCGTGGGGAGGGGAGGGGAGGGGGGACACCTAAAACGGATCTGCCGGAGAAAGCGAGGAAGGAAGGAAGGACCTGGACTAGAATGCCACCTTCTGGCTAGGAAGGAGAGCTTCCACAAGAACAGATCCCACCACCCACAGGTGAGAGGAGCCCCTGCCCAGCCACCCAACCCGCGTGCAGGGAGCTCTCGGGAGCAGCAATAAACACGGCTCCACCTTCCCCCTCCTGCATTCCTGGAGGAGAACGACCAGATGCCTCCAGCTCTGCCCTCCTTCCTCTAGGGTAGCTCCCCTCCAGCCCTCTCTGGTCTCAGCTGCCCTCTGGCCGGCAGCCACAGGTAGGTGTGGAACCCCAATGAGCCGCTGGGCGTCCTGAACAGAAGTGTCCCCCAATAAAGGGACCTCCCAGACAGGAGGCGATGGGGCCAACTCAGCTCGGCTGGGTCTGCCGGGAAGCCCTTCCTGCTCAACCCCTGGGCTCCTTCCAGGATGTGCAACAGCAGCTCTGGAGTCCGGGACTTTGCAGCTGCCCAAGCCGACCACAGTTCCAGCTGGGTTGCTGGACGTGGCCTGACGGGGCTCCGATTCTCCAGCGACTCTGCCCTGCTCTCTGGCGCTCAGTTCCTCCCCCCTGCAGTTTCTGTACCCTCTCTGCAGTTGGGGGAGGAAGGGGGGGGTCGACACTGACCACCTGCAGTGCTTCTCGTATCTGTCCATCATCTCCCATCCTGGGACTCCGGACAGGCAGGCTCCCCGCTCTTAAGCTGAACCCAGCAGGATGAGACCCGGGAAGGGCACAGCCAGGAAAGACATGGAGGGGGGGCTCTCATGGCTCAGAAGGACAGGCTCTTTGCCCCCCCACCACAGGCAGGAGCCCCCTCCCTGCCTCTGCCTTGGACTTCCGATGCTTCTTAGAAATGCCTCCATTCCTTGAAAGCCAAAATCAGCCTCCCTGGCCGACCAAGCGGCAGGGAAAGACCACCGGCTTTTTGTGCAACCGACTCCCCTTGCCCAGTTCCACCCGAAATCGGGGGGGGGGGAGAAGGGCGAAGGAGGGCGAGGGCCGACCTCTCTGCAGAAGAAGGAAGGCCCGGCTGGCCGGGGGCGATGAGGGCCGCTGAGAGATCCCTCCCCCTTCCAGGCCCTTCTGACCTCCCGCTGCCCCTGCCCCCAAGGTCATCCAGATACCAGCCTCCTGGGGGGATTAAAGGAAACTGAAAATGCAAACAGAAAAACACCCATTTTCCCCCAACAAATAAAAAACTTCCGCGCTTTGTGAAGCTGACAGCCCCGCCAGAGGTGTTGACGTAACCTTCCATCTCCAGCCGAGGCGTAAAGTCAACAGCCCCGTGTGCTGGCTGCAGATCCCTCAGGGAGATTTACATTAACTTGTCTGACATGAAATTAAAACAACAATCAGCCAGCTATGAATGAAAGCTCTTTCTCTTTCTCCCTCTTTCTCTTTTCTCTCTCCCTCTTTCCTGAGGCAGCGGTTGCCACCGGCACCCCAACCTCTCCAGATCCGAAGCTGGGCAGGTCCTGCAGCGCCTTCCTCCGTCGGTCACTCTAACCCACCCGGGAAAAATTCTGCATCCGGGAGACTGGACCCTGCCCTTGGCGAGGACTCTTCACGCTGGGCCACACTCAACGTTGACCCACATGACTTTACAAGGACCAGCCGATCCGGACGTCACAAAATCCGCTTCTGGTGCCAAGAAGGAGCTCTCCCATTCCGAGCTGCGTCCGGAGGTTTTTTCACCTCAACCCCACCGCTCTGCAGCCCCCAGCCCCATTTCTGGCCCAGAGAGCTGAGCCACGGAGAGAGCCTCAAAAGCCTTTAGGCCAGGGGTCTTCCAACTTGGCCCTTTGATGACTTGTGGACTTCAACTCCCAGAATTCCTCAACCAGGCATTCTGGGAGTTGAAGTCCACAAGTCATCAAAGGGCCAAGTTGGAAGACCCAAGAGATTTTAAGAGGAGTGGACTTCAACTCCCAGAATTCCTCAGCCAGCGTGCCTGGCTGAGGAATGCTGGGAGTTGAAGTCCACAAGTCATAAGAAGGGCCAACTTGGAAGACCTCTGCCTTAGGCCATCAAGTGTTTACAGACAACCAAACACAAGCTGGGCAGGAGGAAGAGCTGAGCCTTCGGCTTGACCTTTCCACCGGCCCAGGGGCCACGCTGGCCTCCAACCACGCCCGGCCCTCTCCTCCCGAGGCAGACTTACAGGCAGGTGGGTGAAGACCGCAAAGGTGCTGCGCAGGAAAGCGATGAGGTCCACCAGGTAGCCGCTGGCCTTGGGGGCAGCTTCCGTGGTCGTCCAGTCGTAGTCGGCAAGTTGCAAGAACTGGTCAATCTTCTGGTTCAAGTTAGTGTAGCTCTCCTCCTCTGCGGCATGGCGGGCGTCCTGTGGGGAAGGGCCCAGTCAGCAGGAAAGCTCACAGCGGCACCCTGAACCCTGGGGGGGGGGCTCCTGGCCCCCAATGTGACACCCATTCTCTTCCTGCCACTTATTCCACGGAATAACCGCTCCCTGAAGACGGCAGGGGCGCAACAGTATGGAAGGACAGTAGCGCCTCCTGACTGCATGGCTGTGCGCCAACCTACAGGAACAGAGGCAGTCAACACCTGGCTCTAGTGTGTGTTTACTCCCAATTCTCACAGTGCCGGCTAATGCCTTACATCTATTTACCCATGTAGTATGGCTGTAGTATTGCCACTATTTACTCCCTCCCTCCTTATTGGGATGACGACAATGATGATACTTTTGCTTTGCATGTACACCGAGGGCTTCCACACTGGAGACCAAGGCCTTGTGTATCTAATCTGTTCTGTTCCATATTGTACTCTACTCTATTCTAACGCCATCCACCCCGTGCCAAGGGATCCCCAGTAAAGCAGGACATGGTAAATATTGCCCTGCACTGAACATCCATTCGAATGCAAACTTTTTGTTCCCGAGAGTGTCACCAAATCCCTGTACAGCTGTGGGGACCCTCTTCCCTCCTCTGCACTTGCACGCTTCTGCACCCCTGGGCGACTGGCTTCCACGATCACCAACCCAACACAGGCAGAGCAGGGACTCCAGTTTTTGTCCTCCTCCATTTTTTTCGGCAAAGGGTCCCCCTGATCTTCCCACGGACCCTGGCCCTTCTTCAGATGTCCGCCTTCCGCCGTCCCCTGGCTGCTTTCCGTGTCTGGATGAGGACAACAGAGCTCTGATCCCCGGCTAGCAGGCAGGGGCCTCCGAGAGGGCCATGGGGGTGGAGATGAACGCTCAGGCTCACCTTGAAAGTGGCCATCCCATAAAGCTTCGTGGTGTGGACAGTTTCTGGAAGAACGTTGGTGATGTTGGTTATGAACTCTTCCAGGAAACGGCAGGATCTTTCCAAGTGCGTAGTGTTGATAATTATCTGGACCAGCTGCAGGAGCAACACACACTGTTAAAACCATCAGCCAAAGGTGGGCTGGAGGGAGTCAGGGCAGCGGGCGAGGGCTGTGCTGCCATTCGGAGGTGGCCCCTGGAAGAAGCAGCGAGCCCCGCGGACTCTCCATCTTCAGCCCAGGAGAGGTTGCTAAGCTCCCACATTTAGCTTGCCTCGTTACACCTCCGGTCCTATTCAGGACAAACCGGTTGCAAAAAACACAAGAACAGATCTGACGCCCTTGGCCAAGACGTCAACAGGGGCAGAAGCTTGAGTGACAGCACCTCTCTGCTCTCCAGCAGTTTCGGAAAACCTGCAGGCACCTCGGCTGTAATTAATTGGTGGGGAGGGGATTCTCCATCACCTGTCGACAGAGGCTGGGCCAGGGTCTTTCAAGGACAGCGAAGAGAAGCTGAGGGTCTCCCCACTTCCCAGGCTGGGCCATGGATTCTTTTCACCACATCATAAATCTAATGTCACCAATTATTCTTCCTCCAAAAGGCCACATGCCAGGGCCACAAGGCAAGAAATGATCGGTTGACCCAGCCCTTTACATCCAGCAGATCCTCTCTAAAACAGAGCCCCCCCCACCTTTTGGGCACCAGGGGCCACCAGTTCTGTGGAGAGAGGTTTTTCCGTGAACCGGAGGGTGTGTGGGTTTGTGTGCTGCCTGCATCCTGTGGACGGGGCTTTGCTTGTTTGTGCGGACCTGTTGCTGGCGTGTTGCGGCCCGGTGCCGGTCCACGGACCAGGGGGTTGGGGACCCTTGCTCTAAAATATCAAACTGGAGAAATCCCAAAGGTGCTTTTTCAGGAGGCAACTGGACTGCTCATCCAAGAAGGGCCAAACCCACCCAACCTCTCCCAATCCAGGAAGGGGGCCTTGCCTCGGTCAGGCCGACGTTCTTCCTCCGAATGACGTTCTGCAAACAGTTGCTCAGGGTTCGAGTCAACAGCAAGTTAGTCGATTTCCGAATCATGTCGTCCACCTCCGTGGAGCTGAAAGGCAGACAGAATTATTGATCAGTTGAGTGACTGACTGACTGACTGACTGACTGACTGATTGATTGATTGATTGATTGACTGAGTGGTCACTAAGTGCAAACAAAACCATCAGCCAAGAGGTTCCAAGGAAGAGCAAAGCCAACTCGGCCGACACCTACAATAGAATAGAATAGAATAGAATAGAATAGAATAGAATAGAATAGAATAGAATAGAATAGAATGGAATGGAATGGAATGGAATGGAATGGAATGGAATGGAATGGAATGGAATGGAATGGAATGGAATGGAATGGAATAGAATAGAATAGAATAGAATAGAATAGAATAGAATAGAATAGAATAGAATAGAATAGGAATGGAATGGAACAGAATGGAGTGGAATGGAATGGAACGGAACAGAACAGAACAGAATAGAATAGCAGCTGGAAGGGACCTTGGAGGTCTTCTAGTCCAGCCCCCTGCTCAAGCAGGGAAAGGCGTTAGCTTCAAATGATGGTTTCAGAGAGTGGAAGTCAGGAGGCCTTTCTTAAGACCGGCGACCCGGAGGCAGACCCTCCGATCTTGGCAATGGCCTGCAGGTCCTTGAGCTGTGTTGTGTGTCAGGGTGGACAGCAGGTGTGGGTCACAAACAACTGGATGAGGGAGGGTGGACACTCGGCTCAGGGCCCGATCAATACGAGCCCACAGATAGGAAGGTCGATGGAAAAATGATGTAGAAATAACCGGCTCTGTCTCCTTTTGTCCTCATTCAGTTGATGGTTTCAACTATTTTGAACAGTACAGGCTGCCCTCGACTTACGACAGTTCATTTAGCGACCGGTCAAAGTTACAGTGGCCTTGAAAAAAGGGACTCATGACCGTTTTTTCACACTTACGACCGTTGCAGCATCCACAGGGTCACATGATCAAAATTCGGACGCTTGACAGCTGGTTCCTATTTATGACGGTCAGTGTCCCCCGGGGGGGGTCACGTGACCCCCCCTTTTGTGCCTGCTGACCAACAAAATCCGTGGGGGAAGCCAGATTCACTTTAACAACCGTGTTGCCAACTGAACAACCGCAACAACTCCCTTCACAACAATGGTAAGAAAAGTGGTAAAATGGGGCAAAAACTCACTTAACAAAGGTCTCACTTAGCAACAGAGGTTTTGGGCTCAGCTGTGGTCGTAAGTAGAGGACTACTTGCATTCTGGATTTTAAAAATCTCATACTGGCAATTTTTTTAAAAGTCAACTGCCAGGATGAGGTTAATTAATAACAGGACGCCTGGAAATTGTTCTAATTATTAATGAAATGAAAAATAAACCCGCGGGGTGGATGGAGAATTCAACCAGGAAGTGTTGCAATAATGGACACCGACCAACTCCCCCCACCCACACCCCACCCCACTCTGCAAAGGCAACCATGACCGGGGCCAGGGGGGGGAATACTTAGTTCTGGGTTGAGGACCCATGCCAGCCTCTGCCCCCGGCCTTTTTGCCAACGCTTGTGGGCAGCGGCAGCAGACGTTTCCCCAAAATATTTGCCGAGAAGTCGGCCTAGATATGTCCAGGCAGCCTCTGGGAGTGAAGACTGACTGGAAGGCCCCAAAAAGGGGGTGGGGGAGAGGGAGGGCTGGGCACTCAGCCTGGCATGCCGCCTCTTCATGGGGTACCCCAAAACCTCCATTCCTCTCAGGAGGAGGAAGTTACCGGGGTGCCGCTGCTTTAGCAATGAAATGGTTGCCCCAATTCTCAATTATTAACGGATCAATTTTATTTAATTGGGGGCTCCCACTGGTTCCACTGAGGAAGGGTGCTGTGATGCTTGCAGGCACCCTATTGACAGGCTTGTTTTAAGGCGGGGGGTCCCCAAAGGTTCTGGTGAAGATGTGGAGGCCCACATGAAGGGGAAATGTCCTGGCTGCCCCACTGCCCTTGAAGAGGCGGCACTGACACACACACACACACACACACACAGACAGTTCCTGCTCCATCACTTGATTTATTTATTTGTGACTGTTGTGACTTTGGTAGCAGCTTCCGGTTGCTCTCCTAAGCAGCTCTTCTTTTGAGTCTCTTTTTTCCTCTTCAAACTGGGCAGGGTGGGTCTCCACCCCATCTAGGGACCGTCTGGAACAGGGGTAGGCAACCTGGGCTCTTTTATGACTCATGGACTTCAACTCCCAGAATTCCAGAGCCAGCAGGGCTCAGCTTGGAAACCTCTCCCTTTCCCCTCAGCATGGCTGGCTCAGGAATTCTGGGAGTTGAAGTCCACCAGTCATGAGGGGGGCCATAGTTCCCCCATGCTGGCTCAGGAATTCTGGGAGTTGGTCCACAAGTCATAAAAGAGCCGAGGTTGCCTACCTCTGGCCTAGGCCAGAGGTAGGCAACCTTGGTTCTTTTATGACTCGTGGACTTCAATTCCCAGAATTCCTGAGCCAGTATAGGGAACTATGATCCCTTTATGACCTCTGGACTTCAACTCCCAGAATTCCTGAGCCAGCCTGGCTCAGCTTGGAAACCTCTCCCTTTCCCCTCAGCATGGCTGGCTCAGGAATTCTGGGAGTTGAAGTCCATGAGTCATAAAAGAGCCGAGGTTGCCTACCCCTGGACTCTGGAAGAATCAACCCATTTGTATCGATAACCCCCGCCCCTGCCATCCAAATACCCCCCCATCTTCCCCAGGAGGTGCAGGAGAAGAAGAGACCTTTGGGAAAGCCTTGGAAATCACCTGGGGGGTGGGGGGAGGCTTTCTGATGCCCCTACCTCAGATGAAGGTCTTCAGAGAACTTCAGGCAGGCGTAGATGAATTCCTTGATCTGGTTATAAACCCGAGGCACCAGTTCGGAAAAGGGGAACTTCCTGGGGAACGGCTGCTGCAAAATTGAGGGGGGGGGAGATGGGTCAGCGAGACATGCGTCCACCCCAGCCCGAGCGGACGTCGCCCCCTCCCCAGCCAGGTTGCTCCCTCTGCTGGGGCTCTGCTTGCCCCCCACCCCCAAACTCCTTCCACCCCTCCTGGCCACGGGCCTCCTCCGCCTTCCTCCCACAGGAGCACCGGGGGGGGCTTCCATGGTCACTCCTGGACTGCCCTCCCCATTTGCCAACCCCCAGATTTAATCCAGGCTGGCTCTTTGATGACTTGTGGACTTCAACTCCCAGAATAAAAGAGCCAAGGTTGCCTACCTCTGGCCTAGGCCTAGGCCGCTTTATGACTGGTGGACTTCAGCTCCCAGAATTCCTGAGCCATCATGGCTCAGCTGGGAAACCTCCCTTTCCCCTCAGCATGGCTGGCTCAGGAATTCTGGGAGTTGAAGTCCACCAGTCATAAAAGAGCCAAGTTTGCCTACCCCTGACTAGGCCTAGGCCGCTTTATGACTCATGGACTTCAACTCCCAGAATTCCTGAGCCAGCCTGGCTCAGCTTGGAAACCTCTCCCCTCAGCATGGCTGGCTCAGGAATTCTGGGAGTTGAAGTCCACGAGTCATAAAAGAGCCAAGGCTGCCTACCTCTGGCCTAGGCCTAGGCCGCTTTATGACTGGTGGACTTCAACTCCCAGAATTCCTGAGCCAGCATGGGGGGAACTATGGCCCGTTCATGACTCATGCACTTCAACTCCCAGAATTCCTGAGCCAGCATGGCTCAGCTTGGAAACCTCTCCCTTTCCCCTCAGCATGGCTGGCTCAGGAATTCTGGGAGTTGAAGTCCACCAGTCATAAAAGAGCCAAGATTGCCTACCCCTGGTATAGGGTCTCCTGCCATGGGAAGGGTTGGACTGGAAGACCTCCAGGGTCCCTTCTAGCTCTGTTCTGACTTTACCTCCAGCTTCCACAGTTGTCATGACTGTAAACCAGTAGCCGGCTTTCCATCGTGGCCCCCTGCCTCTCCCAGGGACAACCCCCCCCCCCAGCACCACCAAGCTCTCCTCTTTTGAGGGCTGCCAAGGCCGGAAGCGCTGCTAGAGATCATCCAAACCGTCCCCACAGAGCCAACCCTGAGTGGCTCTGGAGCGGAGGAATCTCCCCGGCCTCTGGCTGTGGAGAAATATTCCGAAGGTGGAGAGGAGGCGGCCTCAGTGTTTCAGGGGAACCCCCGGATTTCAGCACCGCCTTCCCTCACGCCTCACCTTCTCCAGCTCCGCGTCGTGGAACGGGAACTGCCCCACCATCTTCTCGTACTGCTCTTCGTTGGCCACCGAGATGGGGCTGTAGTTATCCAAATCCAGAATATTTCTGAGAAACAGAGAAGAGTTTTCGCTCCGCCTGTGCACAAAACCCGGCTGGCCTCCTCGGCTGGCCCAAAACAACCCAGTGGATATGTTTGTATGCAAAAATGAAACTGCTCCAGGGCCGGGTAACAAGGAAGAGGCCGGGCGACCTGTAGACCCTGGAAGCCGGCCCCAAGGAGGGCCGAGGGCCTGACTGCGGAAGGGCCCCTGCGGGGTTTCCAAAGCAGGTTGGGGGGGTCCCCTCGTCCTCTGCCGCTCCTGCCTTAACTTTGCTGTGTGCCGTGTCTGTTCTCATTTTTAAATTACCCCTTTGAGTTCTACCGTCCGATCGTCCGTGGTGCAGCCTGGAAATCTGCATTTCTGGTGCAGGAATGCCATCAGTGAGCCAGGGGCCCAATCCACCCAAGGATGCCTCACCTGAAGGCTCCTGCCCATTTCTTCAGTAGCGTCTCACTGTACTGGTCCTGGATCTCCAGAAGCAGGTCAAAGAGCTGGTTGACCGGGAAGCCGTAGCCCTGGCAGAGAGAAACGGGGGGGTTTCAGGGCCACCGGGGAGGATGGCAGACCCCTGCCCAGCCCCGGGGACTCTAACTGTGATGGTGTTCAAACAAGCGTATCTTTGGGGAGGAATTAGCCCGGCCTTCTGGGCCTCCATGGGGAAGGGGCCGTCTGATTCCCAGGCCGTGCCTGGAGGGGCGCTGGGTATGGTGGACGGGGCGAGGCGGCTCCTTACCTGGAGAGTGTCAGCAAAGAGCACAATGAGGTTTTTCAGATCCAGCACCAGGTCTGGGTCCGAGCAATAGGACTGGAAAAGAAGGAACGGAAGAAGCGTTCACTTGCGGCATTCCTGGAGGTCCGTATCTTTGAGGGACTCGGAGAAGGACAGTGAGGAACCCTAACGTATTTTGAACTTGCAGTTCCACAAGGTGATTGGTTGCAAAAAAGAAAACCACCCACGCCAAACCACCTAAAACCTAACTTAGCTCAAATCAGCTTGTTAAAGGAAGGTGCCATTGTGGGGTCCTTGGTCCTCTCTGAGCTTGGCTGTTTGCTTGCAGACATTTAATTACCAAACTAGGGAACATCATCAGTGCTAGAAGGGAGTGGGGTGTGTGGAAAGGAGGAGGAGGAGGAGGATGAGGAGGAGGGGGAGGAGGGTGGGATCCTTGGTGCTCTCTGAGCTGGGTGGTTTCCTTGCAGACGTTTCCTGACCCAACAAAGTTACATCATCAGTGCTAAAGTAGCATCGCTATCTATATCAAAATAATGCTCAGGTCCATTTTCAAAAAATGCTACAGAAAATATGACTACGCCTATTAAGAGCTGCAAAGCAGAACATCTGTGTCAGATCTAGATCCCAGATAGCACAACTGGAGTTTAAAGTGCAGGAAGGCCAGACCGCCTACCCAGGGCCGAGTGACCGCTACTCACCGAATGTGTCCGGAGGGCAGCGATGGTCTTGGAGAGGGCCATATCCCAGAGTTCATCGATGTAGGCTCTGTCCACCAAGCCCTGGCTTGTGTGCAGAATGTGGTCCTCGATGACAAAAAAGCTAAGAAGAAGGAAGGAGAGCTGTCCAAGAGCCTATCAATCTATCTATCAATCAATCAGAGTAGAGCTGGGAGGGGCCTTGGAGGTCTTCTAGTCCAACCCCCTGCTCAAGCAGGAGACCCTAGGGCATTTCAGACAAGGGGATGTCCAGTCTGATCTGAATGGGCCAACTGGAGTTGATGTGGTCAGCCCATCTCCAGCTTCCCTGGACCTGGAGGAAGGGCGGTCCAAAGTCTTCGCCTAGAGCAGGGGTGTCCAACCTGGGCCAATTTAAGACCTGTGGACTTCAACTCCCAGAATCCCCCAGCCGACCATGGGATTCAGATTTAGAGTTTTCTGTCCAAATTTCCTCAGGGGGGTGTCGGGGGGCAGGAATGGCAGAATGAGAGGAGGCCGAGAGCCTCCAGAGGAAAGGAAGAAGGCCAGGTAATGAGGTGGGGGATGGCTGAGTGGGGGGCACATCTAACTGATCCAGAAAAAGCTCAGCAGATGGGGTGGGTGGGAGGGCGGGGGCTTCCAGGAAGTTGTAGACTGGGCAAACCCGTCCCCCGGGGCTGCTGAGAACACGACAATGGACAGGTTCGCAATCCCCAAGTGTCACACTTGCACGAGGGAGATTTGCTTCCACTTGTGGTTAAGGGGTCTGGCGAGAAGCCAGGAGGCCCTGAATTCTAGTCCTGCTTGGCATGAAGCCAGCTGGGCGACCCTGGGCCAGCCCCTGTCACCCTGCCCTCGGAAGGAGGCAATGGCGAGCCCTTCTGAAAAGCCTTGCCGGGAAAACTGCAGGGACTGATCCAGGCCGTCTCCGAGCATCAGACACGACGAACGGAAGAAAAACAAATAGAAACGATCAAAAGAAGTCTGTTCCTTGACAACTTTTAGTTGCGGGGAGTCCTCAATATATGACCACAACTCCAATTTTCTGTTGCTAAGTGAGACAGTTTTGTCCCATTTTACGACCTCTCTTGCCACAGTTGTTAAATGAATCACTGCAGCTGTAAAGTCAGTCACACGGTTGCTAAGTGAATCCACCTTCCCCCGTTGACTTTGCCGGTCAGACGGTCGCAAGAGGGGATCACGTGACACACACACACACACCCCAGATGCTGTGACCGTCGTAAATATGAGCCAGCTGTCAAGCGTAACTGAGTGTAACGCACGTGACCCTGGGGTCGTAAGCGTGGAAAAAAGGGCCACTTTTTCCAGTGTCGTCCTTACTTCCAACGGCCACTAAACAAATGGCTGTAACTGGAGGACGGCCCGTTCCACACGGACTTGGACCAGGCCCTGGCGGGAGCCGAGACACAAGAGAAAAAGGAGGACACTCACCCCACAATCTGATTGAAGTACTTCCGGTAGCCGGAGAGGGTCTCGTGCTGGAGACAGGGAGGGGGGGAAGGGAACAGGATTAAAACACGCTGGAGGGGGGGGGAAACACCAAGAAATCCAGCCCAGGTGAGACCCCCCCCCAACCAAACCCTCTGAGACCTCACCATGTTGGAGGGGGGCTGCAGAACCAGCCGGGCCTGCTTCCTCCTCTGCTTCCGGTAGTAGCTCTCGAAGGTCTCTCGGGCTCCCTGCCAAGAAGGAAAGGGGTCAAGGGCCTCGCGGGGACCGAGGGTCTCCCTTGCCCCCCCACCACCACCACCAAGGAGAGGCCCTGGGATGGCTCAAGAGGGGGGTGGTGGGCCTCCTCTTGCTTGAGGCTTGAACCTTCTCAAGTGAAAAATCCTGGACTGAGCTGCAATCCTGCTTGTCCCGCCACCAGATTCGCCCCCTTTGATGGACCTGCGGGCTTTGGGATGTCCCTCCTGGGATAGCTTCCTTGAAGCTCAGCATGGACAGAAGCCCTTTCCACGCGGGTCTTTTGGGGGATCCCACAGTGCCAGCTGGGGCTGATAGAAACCGGAGTCCCCACCACCACCACCATCTGGATGCCCCTCCTTTTGTGTCCGAAGCATCAGACAGAAGGTGGTCCTCCCAAGGGACGTTCATCCTACAATCAGGGCTCCTACGTTGTTTTCCCCTTTCAGTGGTCAACGTGTGGTTACTACCACTCGGTACCCCACCACCACCACCACAGAAGGGCTGGCTGCAGTCTGAATGGAGCCCCGTGAAGGCATGCTCAGCCCTTCACGGGAGCCAGAATGCTCGGGGCTTCTGTGGAAGGCCTGAGAAGGTCCTGGTCCACAACGGAGAAGAAGCAGGGGTTGAGTCTCCCATGGGGAGCTTTTTGAGAGAGGCCACCAAACAGGGTCTCTCCATCTTGACCAGGGGTCTTCCAACTTGGCCCTTTGATGACTTGTGGACTTCAACACCCAGAATTCCTCAGCCAGGATGCTTTAGGACAGGGGTCTTCCAACTTGGCTCTTTGATGACTTGTGGACTTCAACTCCCAGAATTCCTCAGCCAGGCACGTGTGCCTGGGTGAGGAATTCTGGGAGTTGAAATCCACAAGTCATCAAAGGGCCAAGTTGGAAGACCCGTGATCTTGACTTCTGAAAGGTCCAGGTGAGAAGAGGGTGTGAGGACTTCTCAGCCTTTCCACCTGGTTTATTAATACCCTCGGAGAACTTTAAAAGACAAGATCTAATGTGGCTTCTTTTTGTTCCTTCTATATTCCTGGTAAATGTATCTTAACTAGCACTACTAATGTAATCAGAACAAGCCCTAAATTCACTTTTCAGCCCTACAGCACAGGCTCTGATCTTAGAAATAAAGTATGCCATATATTTTTGTCATAAAATACCATTTCCCAGCTGAATTCTTTTAGAATTTTTTTTTTATAATGCATGGAGTTATCTGCATGAAGGGATCTACAGCATTTGTTTTCAATTTATCATCAGTACTCAAGAAGTTTGTGTTGCCCATCATTTACTTCGTCTCCATGCAAGATCTTTTCTTGGAAGTGCCCTGTCGGGGCCATCTCTCTGCCCCTCCCTGCAGCGAAGGCACCGGGGGACCCCCAAATCCGATTCGACTTTTCTGCAATCCCCTGAACCTACTTCTTCAAAAGGCTGCTTAACTCCCTTGACAGCTTGCTTCTGATGCATCCAAATTATTTTTACAGTACATTTTAAAGGTATTAGAAAAATGTTCCCCGAAATATAGAATAGAATATTTATATTTTAAGCCTGTTAACTGTCACAAGATCAAAAATGAGGAGGTGATCAGCCGCCTGGGAAAGCCAAGGGAAATCATCAAAACAATTAAAAAACAAAAATTGGAATATTTTGGACATGTGATGCGACACCCAGAAAAATTACGGCGTACTCCGTTTAATCCTCCAGGGAAAGATGGAAGGCCAACGAGGTCCAGGCAGAAGAAGAACGTCGTGGCTTCAAAATCGAAGGGACCGGTTTGGACAAAACTCAGCAGCACTTTTTCGTGCGGCTGCTGATAAAAACAGGATCGCCAACATGATCGCCAACGTCCGATAACGGATATGGCACAAGAAGAAGAAGAAGAAGTGAACTGTCAACTTGTATTTCTTTCCGTGGTTCCAATCTCATCCAGAGCTTGGATTTGCTGACTCTTTTGCTACGCATTCAGCTGTTCGGTGACCTCTTCCCTCGCTGCATACCTGTCTTACTCACCTCCTAGGCCTGTTGAAGAGGAAAAAATAAAACCCATCCAGATGCCCTTAGAGCTTAGGCAGAATTTCCCCTCTAGGTGTCTTTATGGGAGAGATGGATAAATGCTGTTGAGCAGCGTGCCTGGAACCCTTGTTACAATCCCCAGGAGGGGTAAAATAAATAAATAAATCAGCCTTTTCTTTCTAACAAGGCAGGATCCTGCCGGTGGGCAAAAGGGCAGGAGGGCAAGTTCAAAGTCCTGCATTGCTGGAGCTGCACCTTCCAGATGGTCAGCTCTGGTCTCCACTTCCCAGCCCTGACCCTCCTGAGTAAGATTGAGCCCCTGCCCCACTGAGCAGAAGGCCGGACTCCTCTGGACCCACAGCAGCCCCATTCAGCAGCCCTAGCAGGAGGCCCCGGGGACAGCCCCAGTTGTTGTTCCTGTTGTTGTTGTCATCCTCCTCCTCCACCACCACCACCTGCAAACCCTACTGCCTTCTAGCATTGACGGTGTTCCCTAGTTGGGTCCTAGAACGTCTGCAAGAAAATAACCCAGTTCAGAGAACACGAAGGACCCCACACTTGTCGTCATCATCCTCTTCCTCCTCCTCTTTTTCTGCCTGCCTGCCTGCCTGCCTGCCTCCTCCTCCTCCTCCTCCTCCCAGGAGCTGATCCTCCAGCAGTGAAGGAGGCAGGCCTGGAGGCCGCTCCGCTGACCGCCTGACCCCTTGCCAAAGTTCAGGGCTTCCTAGAGAGCCTCTGCCCGCCCGGGGCAGGAGGAGGAAGGCCCCACAGATGCTCCGGCCATGACCCGGGCCCGGCCTCTGTTCCAAGAGGGCCGACCGGCTGCCCGATAAGCAGGGCTGGCAGAGCAAAGCAGGATTTCCACTAATCCGTTGGGAACTTCTCAGCTGGCTCAGCCATAAAAACGAGGTGACAGGAAGGTCGGCCTCACTAACAATGCTGAAGCCCGGAGTGTTTACATGCGCCCAGGGATGCTTTTCCAGGGCAGCCGGGCCCTCCGGTGATAAGGCCATTGTCAGGAAGGCCCAGTCGCCTTTCGGCAGCCCTTGCGGTCCGGCCCTTCTGCCCGGCCGGTGAGAACATGCTTTCCGGTGCAGGCTTGACCGCGGCCACCGTGGCCCTGACCCGTCCTGCTCAGCCGCCCCCCCCTACGGCCTTTCCCCGGGTCCCTCTGAGGTCAACCCCGGGGGGGGGGCTCTAGTGGAAAGCCAGTCCCTGCACCGTAATCCCTCAAAAGCCCTTCCCAGGAGGCCTCTCAGAGGCAACACACACACACACACACACACAGCACTCCCCAAAGGGCACGACACTCCCCAACCCCTGAAATTAGACGTTCAAAGAGAGGCCAGAGAACCGTGGCTTCCGTGGCCTCATTCGTATCACGAAAGAGACCGTCTCAAGGCCCGAAAGGGGCAGCCAGACCGCTCAGGCCACCTGAAGGAAAGGGTGGCTCTCTTCTCCACCACAGAACCTATGTTCCCCTGCTGCTGTAGAACCCATGGGGCACCTTTACTGACCTGCCGTGGGGCAGGTGAAGGAAATGGACCGGTCTCTTCCAGAGGAACAGCGATCCAGTTGCTCTCCTGGGTGAGGAGGGGAGGGGAGACCCAGTAAAGGGTCACCCCTAGCCGGTCCCAGGAGCAGGGAGGGTGGCCGGATATTCCTGCTGGGGCAATTCCTCCCCCCCCCAGTGGTCAGTCCAGCCGCATTCACACAACGTATTGACCGAGGCTCAGCAACAGAGGAGAATCTTCGCAGCCTGGGGTAACCAGAGGGCTCCTTGCTGCCCTCTCAGCTTGGTGCTTTCCTTGCAGGCCTTTCATCCTGACCCAAACTAGGCAGACTCAGCAATTGCATTTACAAGACGTGCAAACCTGGAGTAGCTTTAACTTTATTTCTGCCATCTTGAAATGTTGTGTGAAGCTACTCTGTTTGGGGAGCTTACAGTCCCGTGCGTTGAGTTGTGTCGCCTCAGGAAACGGGTCGATTCAGTGGCAGAGCTGACACGACGACCTGGTCCCACAGCCCTGTCACTCTTCACCAGATCCCGTTCTTCAGGAATCACATGCTGATAAAGAGGCTGGATTGATCCGACAATACAGGCACGACGGCAGCCTCCAGGTAAGATGACAAAGCCCTTTGCTTCGGCTGCCCACGAAGACCTGGGACCGGCGGGCAGGAGCCAGGCTTCTCGCAGACAATCACCCAGCAAGATGGGGCTGCATTAAGTTGGTGCTACCTACCGAGGCTCCACCGTTGTGTGTTTTCACATCCTTCGTCACGTGTATCGACATATCCATTCTTATTTGAGATCTGATCATTTTGACTCTTCAGCCCTTTTGCTATTTTCCTGCCATCCCCTCCCCAGAAGACCGGCACCCCTTTGGTGAGAAGCATTCGGCCCGCAGTTTTCTCTGCTGACAAGAACCCCCTAAGTCCAGGGGTAGGCAACCTGGGCTCTTTTAGGACTCGTGGACTTCAACTCCCAGAATTCCTGAGCCAGCCTGGCTCAGCTTGGAAACCTCTCCCTTTCCCCTCAGCATGGCTGGCTCAGGAATTCTGGGAGTTGAAGTCCACGAGTCCTAAAAGACCCGGGTTGCCTACCCCTGGACTAGGGGGAGCAGGTCGCACAAGAATGGCAATAAGACGAGACAACCATCCAACACGAGGAGGCTTTCCAGAAAAAGGCAGCCCAGCCATTGCCACAGCCCCTGCGATGGAGCTGGAAAGAAATCAGAATATTTCCGAGGAGTCTCTTTTCCCGATTCACGCTGTCCTCACAGTGCTGCCATCCTGCCCGGGTCTGCAGCCTGCAGGGGATGCCCATCGCTCAGCGCTGAAGCTTGGCTGCCTCCCAGCTGCCCGACCGCTTCTGGCCTTTGCCCCCATCCACCGGCCATGCCCTGGACTTTTGCCCAATGAGGTCTGTCCGCCCACCCCTCCGCCTCGCCACCTCCGCAAACTGCAGCAGCTTGCTAACCATCGCACTGACACACAATCCTTGTCTACGTGTCTGTGGAGACCTTCTCCAGGTCCTGGTTGTCCCAGAGGTGCTTTTTTCAAGAGGCAACTGGACTTTCCTTGTTCTTCCTTGAAAATGTTTTGCTTCTCACCCAGGAAGCTTCTTAACTGACGAAGAAGACCTGAAGAAGAATTGAAGAAGCTTCTTGGATGAGAAGCAAAATGTTTTCAAGGAAAAAAAACCCAAGGAGGTCCAGTTGCCTTTTGGAAAAACCACCTCTGGCAGAATCCTTGTCCACCTTCTTCCAGCATGTCGCCAGCAAGGATCCTTTCTTTAGAGACGTTACCAGGGAGGAACGATTGTTCAACGATGCGAGAGTGGAAACAAAGGAAGGGGCAGCCACTTACCAACACGGAGTAGATGTGGAAGCAGCGGTAGACGGGGGAGAAGTCCACCAAATCCTGAGCACCAGGCACCTGGGGTGACATATAACAGGGACACCTGTCAATCAAAGCAGGGAGGGAACGTAGAGGCTGCTTTGGGAGGAGGATCAAAGGGAAGGGAGCAACCGGAACTGAAGAAATAACCCAGGTAAAACAGAGGGCTTTGAAGGACCAATTCTGGGAGTTGAAGTCCACAAGTCATCAGAGGGCCGAGTTTGAAGACCCCTGGGTTAAGTGAACGACTACAGTTGTTAAGTTAGTCATGTGGTCATTACGTGAACCTGGCTTCCCCACAATGTTTGTCACAAGGTCGCAAAAGGGGATCCCGTGACCCCCACCCCCCCGGGACGTGGCGACCGTCACAAACCCAGGCCAGTTGCATACAAGCACCCAAATTCTGATCACGTGACCACGGGGATGCTGCGAAGGTCCTACGTCACTCTTTTCAGCGCCCTTGTGACTCCAAATGGTCACTAAATGAGGGGTTGTGAGGTTGAGGCCTACCTTTGTGAGCAAAGCGCCTTGGGTGGGCGGCGAGAGAGGCCCGGGAAAGGCCCAGAGGCCCACCTGGCCCTCGGGAAGACCCCCCAAGGACAGCGGTTCTTGCAGAGGCAGCCAACTCTCCCCCCCCGCCTCCAACTCCAGCAGATCCAAAACCGAATGCAGATCAGCTGCCTCCCTCCGAGCCCCCCACCCGCCTTCCCTCCTGGCCATTTCCAGGGCCGACCGGGCCAATCCCTCCACCGCAGACTTGCCTCTTCCTCCTCTTCTTCCTCTTCTTCCTCCTCTTCCACGTCCAGGATCCCGGAATCCTGCTCGGAGATCGGAGTGGGGCTCTTGACCTCCAGCCCGGAGTTTGCGCCAGCCTCTCTCCTGCACCTTCGGCCCCCGACTCTCAAGGGCTGCCCCACCAGGCCATCCAGGTCCCTCTGCTGCTGGGCCTAGGACACAAGCGGACGGGAAGCTCAGGCTGGGCGCCGCCGGACCCGTCGTGCGGGGGAAGCTCGTCATTACCTGCCCTTTGGAACCATCCCTCAGAAGCCCCTCCCCCCCAGTCCGAGGGATCCCTTTGTGGCCCAGATGCAGTGGGTCTAGGACCCCCAGGGGCCCCATCACCGCATCCGCCATTGAAAGGACCCAGAGTTGCTTTGCCTCTGTCAGTTCCAGCTGTCCACATCTGGGCTCCAGAGGGGCCAGAAAGCCCTCCAGCGGCAGCCTGGGAAACCTGAAATGTGCACGGCAGATGGACGCCAGCTGCCGACCGCCTTCTGCCAAGATGGCCAGACCAGGGCAAGACAGGCGGGAGGAGGAGGAGGAGGAGGAGGAGGAGGAGGACCAGACCCCTCCCTCCCCCGATTGACAACCTGAATCCCCCAGTGAAACATTTTGCTCTCTGAGAAACATTTGGGGGGTGGGGAGGCAGCTTGAAGCCGAGTTGAAGTCCACCAGTCCTCAAAGGGCCAAGTTTGAAGACCCCTGATATAGACTTTAAGAGGAGTGGACTTCAACTCCCGTGCCTGGCTGAGGAATTCTGGGAGTTGAAGTCCACCAGTCCTCAAACGGCCCAGTTGGAAGACCCCTGGTCTACAACAACGCACCACAGCCAACCTGCTGTGGCCAACTGACTGCGGGGCAACTTGCCGCAGGAGAAGAGCTCCACTAATATCCAAGGAATGGTGGGATGGAATCATGAAAGGAAGGATGCCAAAGGAGGGACAAAACAAAATGTGAGTGACCAAAATTAAAATAACGTTAATTATTTTACACAACTAAATTAAGCTGTTGAATGGACCCAGAGCGAGTCGTCCCAACCCGCCATTGCCCAGTCTGACACCCGAGACCCCAGCCTTTGGGGGCTGAGGAGAGAGAGCGAGGAAGACCCGCAAGAGCAGGTCTCCAACCTGGGCCACTTTAAGACTTGTGGACTTCGACTCCCAGAATTCCCCAGCCAGCTGGGAGCTGAAGGCCACACGCCTTAAAGTGGCCGGGCTTAGAGTTTGGAGAGAAGTCAAGGGGCTTCTTCCTGTTGCATTCAATCTGGAAGGATCCCCCCCCCTCTGTTGACGGGCCTGCCACAAAGGAAGAAAAAATGACCTTGCGGGCCATGCCCATTTCGGCACTTGCGTTCTGTTTCCCATAAAGGCCTCTGTGCCCCCCCCCACACATACACACACACACACAAACACACACACACGGAGGGGCTGCCTGGAAGGCACATCAAAGGGCGGGGGGGGGGGAGGATGCTCCATCAGACATTTGAGCGACCTGGAGAGGAGAGGCAGGCCGGCAGCCCCCCAAAAAACGTTACCTTTCGCTCTACATGAAAGCCAGGCCATTACTGCACGGCACCTGGCTCACCCCGAAGCCATCAATCCCAGTGCCCCCCCTATTTTCCCCCCCTTAAAGAGAGTGGGGAGGGGGCCGCTCTCCGCTTCCAGGCGGGCCCAGAGCAGCCAGGCAGCAAGGCGGCTTGGCCACGTACTTCCTGCTCTGCCCTCCCAGACTAGATCGGGGTCAAGCCCACTTTGGAGAAGGAAGTCCCCCCCAACCCGGTCCAGCTTCTCCCGGGCAAGCCAGCCCCCCCCCCCAGATGGAGGCTCAGGTGTGGGGCTTGTGGGGATTTCTCTCTGGGTTTGGGACCCTTCCCGGGGGGCTTCCTGGCTGAGTTTCTCGTGCAGCAGCCCCGGAGCAGCAGCCAGGCCTTGTTCCTCTGGGTGACGACCGGTCTGGCCTGGGACTCTCCCATCATCTCGTCGAGGATGATGGATCTGGGGATACTTCCGGTCTGGCTCCTCGGCTGAGACCTGCCTGGCTTGGGTGACCCTTCTGGTACAGGATAGTCCTCCACGTACGACCACAATCGAGCCCCAAGTTTCTCTTGTGACGTGAGACGTTTGTCAAGGGAGTTTTGCCCCATTTTACGACCTTCCTTGCCTCCGTTGGTTGTTAAGTGCGGTTAACTTAAGTTAGTAACACGGTTGTTAAGACTGGGTGGGCGCTGATCCCCCCTGCAGACCCTGCCGGCTGCCTCCAGCTTCGCCAGCCCCTTCCCCTCCACCTCTCCCCGGAAGAAGGGGGGGAGGGCCAGGAAGGCTCGCTGGCCTCGGGGTGCCGAGGGTGAGCCAACGGCCGCTGGGCTCCCCCACGGCAATCCCACCACCGGCCCTGCGGAGGGCAGCTGATGGGCTCCTTCCTGAAGGGGAGCCGGGAGAGAAAAGCTGATCAGCCGCCAAAGCGGAGGCTTTATTGGGCCCGAAGGAGGCCGGGAGCCCCTCCCTGGGTGGGTGGGTGGGTGGGTGGCTTCCATCAGCTCCCGAGGCCTCCCCCACTGCTGCCAGAGTTGCTTTATGGACCCCCCTAATGAGCTGAGACACGGGAGGCTGGAACGTGGTCTCCCAATTCCCCCCCCCCCAGAGAAAGCCACAGCCCTTGAAACAACATCGAGGAGAGGAGCAGGCGGGGAGGGAGGGGGGGGCTAAGCGGGAGTGACAGGCAGGCTGGGCCCCTGCCAGAGGCAGGCTGGAAAGCCATAAAATCCTCCCCCGCCCCCCCCAAATCAGATAAGAGGGATCCGATTACTGCAAGGTGTAAACTCAACATACCGACACAGCTTCTGGCTGAAGGCTTAAGTAAACAAAGAGTGGGGGGGGGAATCAGCCACTTGCCACGAAAGGCCCTTTGCACCAGGGAGGAAGAGAAGGGACGGCCTCGCCCTTCCCCAAGCCCTTCCAAGGCACCTGACGCCGGCAACTGCAGGCCGTCCTCGACTTACGACGGTTCACTTAGTGACCTGAGTTGGGGAAAAAAGGCGACTTGTGACCGTTTTCCACACGGCCATTGCAGCATCCCGTTCGCGTGATTGACATTCGAACGCTTGACAGCTGGTTTCCACTTAACGACGGCCGCAGCGTCCCGAGGAGGGGGTCACGTGATCCCCTTTTGCGACCTTCTGACAGGCAAAGTCAATGGGGAAGCTTTAACGGCCGTGTTACCGACTTAATAACCGCAGTGATCCACTAAACAACAGCAGCAAGAAAAGCGGTAATGCAGATGCAGCAGGGATGCCAGACAGCCACATTAACACTGGTGGGGAGGAGGAGGAGGAGGAGGAGGAGGAGGAGGAGGAGGAGGAGAAAGAGGGAGGAGGAGGAGGAGAAAGAGGGAGGAGGAGGAGGAGGAGGAGAAGGAAGAGGAGGAGGAGGAGGAGGAAGAAGAAGAAGAAGAAGAGAGAGAGGGAGGAGGAGGAGGGAGAAAAGAAAGGGGAGGAGGAGGAAGGAGAAGAGAAAGAGGGAGGAGGAGGAAGAAGAGAAAAAGGGGACAGGAGAAGGAGAAGGAGGAAGAAGAGAAAGGAGAAGAGAAAGAGGAGAAGAGAAAGAGGGAAGAGGAGGAGGAGGAGGAGGAGAGAATGGAAAAGAGAAAGAGGAGGAGGAGGAGGAAGAGAGAAAGAGGGAGGAGGAGGAGGAGGGAGAAGGGAGAAAAGGAAGGGGAGGGGGAGGAAGGAGAAGAGAAAGAGGAGGAGGAGGAAGAAGAGAAAGGAGAAGAGAAAGAGGAGAAGAGAAAGAGGGAAGAGGAGGAGGAATGGAGAAGAGAAAGAGGAGGAGGAAGAGAAAGGGAAGAGGAGGAGGAGGAAGAGAAAGAAGAGGAGGAGGAGGAAGAAGAGAAAGGAGGAGAGAAAGAGGGAGGAGGAGGAGGAGGCCGCCTTGGATCAGCTTCAGCAGGGACCTCCTGGCACCCTGACCTAGAGGGCAGCAACCGGGCTTCCCACTTGGGGGCGGCTGGTTTCCCCAAGTCCCAGTTATTGGAACGCACTGCTTAGAGAGGACCACAGCCGAAGGGAGTCTCTCTCTCTCTAAAGTCCACTTGACTGAGCTCTGGGTGCTACTGAAGATCCTGCCTGGCTTCCAGGATCCCCCAGGATCCTCCCTGACACTTGCTCACCAAGGCAGCACCTCTGCAGCCCTCGCCTTGAACGTACTTCCCATCCACAAAAAAGTGGGATCATTTATTTCACTTGACCCGGTTCAGAAGGCAGAGGGGTCTCAAGGCTACTTAGTTTAATCTCTTTTGCATGTTGACTTTTGATGTCTTTGGTCTGTTAAGTTTTAATCTGTTTTTAATAGATATTCGTACGGCGTAGCAAAATGCAGCCTAGTGCGTGAAATTCACAGAACCGACGTATAAAATGGGTATCAAAATATGAAACGCCAGAGCAGTGAACTGTTTTAAAAACACACAGTAGGAGTGATGAATAAAATTACGAATAAAACTAAATTATGTCTGAGCGGTTACTGGAGTGGCCAAACCCATGGCCACATACCGAGACTGTTCAGGCCAGGGGTAGGCAACCTTGGCTCTTTTATGACTCGTGGACTTCAACTCCCAGAATTCCTGAGCCAGCATGGCTCAGCTTGGAAACCTCTCCCTTTCCCCTCAGCATGGCTGGCTCAGGAATTCTGGGAGTTGAAGTCCACGAGTCATAAAAGAGCCAGGGTTGCCTACCTCTGGCCTAGGCCTAGGCTGCTTTCTGACTCGTGGACTTCAACTCCCAGAATTCCTGAGCCAGCATGGGGAACTGAGGCCTCTTTATGACATGGACTTCAACTCCCAGAATTCCTGAGCCAGCATGGCTCAGCTTGGAAACCTCTCCCTTTCTCCTCAGAATGGCTGGCTGTCCTTAAGACCCTCAACTTCAGGTGGTCAGTACTTCCACGGTATCAAAGGGGGTACGACCGAGAGGAATTCTGGGAGTTGAAGTCCACCAGTCATGAAGGTGCCATAGTTTCCCCCATGCTGGCTGAGGAATTCTGGGAGTTGAAGTCCACCAGTCATGAAGGTGCCATAGTTTCCCCCATGCTGGCTCAGGAATTCTGGGAGTTGAAGTCCACCAGTCATGAAGGTGCCATAGTTTCCCCCATGCTGGCTCAGGAATTCTGGGAGTTGA